CCTTTCTTTCTTTTATTTATTTTAGAGAGAGAAGGGGGTGGAGAGAGAGAGAGAGACAGAGAATCTCAAGCAGGTTCTGCACTGTCAGTGCAGAGCCCAGTGCGGGGCTCGAACTCATGAAACGTGAGATCCTGACCTGAGCTGAGATCAAGAGTCAGACGCTTAACCGACTGAGCCACCTGGGTGCCCTGAGGAAAGGTTCTTTTGAAAGGTTCTGAATTTTCCCCTGGGGTCCAAACACTGGGTTCAGTGGGCCCTCTGGAAGGGAGTGGGGGACCCCAGGCAGCCTCCACTCCGTTCTCTGTGTATCTGCCTGATCGTCGTTCTTGCTATACCGTCTGCTTGGAAGGCCCTGTCCCCCGCCGGCCCCCGGGTGGCTGGCTCCTGCCATCCCTTTAAGTATCTGCTCAAATCCTGACAAGGGGGACTCCAGAGCTTTGGCCTAAGCTTCTCTGGCTCACATCACTCCATGGATTTCTTTTATGGCTTTTATCACAGTTTCATCTACCTGTCTGTTTGTTGACTTCACGTTTATTTTGTGGGAGCTTCCCCGCTTGATCGCCAGCTCCAAGAGAGCAGAAGGCCCTGCTTTCTTCACTGCCGTGCTTGAGCCTTAGTACAGTTCTGGCCCAGAGCAGTCACTTCACACAGACTTGGATTATGAAATCCGCTCCTGGGTTCCTTAGAGTGCCCAGCGCCACTATGAACACATTGGACGTGCCCGTAAATACCTAGGGATTAATTTCATGCCTGAAGACTCCTTGGCCACAGAAGAAAAGGATGACTGATTCTCTTTCTGCAGGAAAGTGGGCTAGACAGGGCCTCAGGGAGGGGGCAGTGGTCCAAGTCAGGGCACAAGAGCATCAGGACCCTAGACAGCAGTGACCCGGTGGTGAACAGCCCTGTGCCTGTGACACCCCGCCCCACCTCCAGATCCTCTTCTGGGCAGAGATGTCTTTAAAGGCAAGACTGATGTGAACAGACAGTTTGACTTGTAGGCTTTTGCGATGTATTTTATTTTATTTTATTTTTACATTTTATTTATATATTTATGTAGTGCACACGGGAGAGGGGCAGAGAGAAGGAGAGTCAGAATCCCATGCAGGCTCCATGCCATCAGCACAGAGCCCGATGAGGGGCTTGAACTCATGAGCTGTGAGATCATGACCTGGGCCGAGATCAAGAGTCGGATGCTTTTGCGATTTAGACCTGGAAATAGGATGTCCTAACAATGGTGACAGCTGAAGGATCTAGAAAATGTATAAGCAGGGGCTGTTTTTTTTTTTTCCTGTTCTCCACCCCCTTTAAGAATAGATCGATAAAGCAATACCTATCAAAAGAACACCAGCATTCTTCACAGAGCTAGAACAAACAATCCTAAAATTTGTATGGAACCAGAAAAGACCCCAAATAGCCAAAGCAATCTTGAAAAAGAAAACCGAAGCAGGAGGCATCACAATCCCAGACTTCAAGCTATACTACAAAGCTGTAATCATCAAGACAGACAGCACAAAAACAGACAGATCCATGGAACAGAATAGAGAACCCAGAAATGGACCCACAAAAGTATGGCCAACTAATGCTTGACAAAGCAGGAAAGAATATCCAATGGAAAAAAGACCGTCTCTTCAGCAAGTGGTGCTGGGAAAACTGGACAGCGACATGCAGAAAAATGAACCTGGACCACTTTCTTACACCAGACAAAAAAATAATCTCAAAATGGATGAGACACCTAAACATAAGACAGGAAGCCATCAAAATCCTAGAGGAGAAAGCCTCTTTGACCTCGGCCGCAGCAACTTCTTACTCAACACATCTCCGGAGGCAAGGGAAACAAAAGCAAAAATGAACTACTGGGAACCTCATCAAAATAAAAAGCTTCTGCACAGTGAAGGAAACAATCAGCAAAACTAAAAGGCAACCGACAGAATGGGAGAAGATACTTGCAAACGACATATCAGATAAAGGGTTCATATCCAAAGTCTATAAAGAACTTCTCAAACTCAACACCCAAAAAACAAATAATCCGGTGAAGAAATGGGCCAAAGACATGCA